ACTACCTGGAATAGTATGTGCTAGCATTTCAATAAACTCAGAAAGCAATGTCAGCTCTGGAGATTTCCTAATATGATCAGTGAAGTGGGAAGTAAAGTTAATTTACTGAATTATTTCAAAACTGTGTACAGATGTGGTGGTACCTCTTCTATTGTTGACCAGAACTAAAAAAGGTGAAAGAACTGAAAAACTTTCATTTACTAAATGAACAGAGCAACCAGCCTCAACATTTTGTAACACAGAGAGCTAAGAAATTGTGTAACTTACCTGTCTAAATTTATACTACTGTTTTCTACTTTAATGGGAAAGATATCACATAAGATTAGCATCTGCCTACTTCCCCTGGTACTTAGAATATCTTTTTAGTAAGTCTTGTTTATCTTTGTTATTGTAATTCTCTTATTCACCAGTAACTTTGTTGACAGAAGATGAAAATAGAGATGCTTTCATCTTTCTCACCCTATTTCAGAGCACTGTGATGACTAAAATAGCCCCTTTCCTCATTAGGTAGGGAAGAATTATAATCCCTACTGAACTGTTACAGAATCATTACACAAGAGGAAGTGTCGAAGTTTAGGAATTGTTTAAAAGTGTGAAATACAGCAAGAAACTGAAGTTGAGACTGATTACTTGATACAAATGAACTAGTGAGCTGAGACAAATATTAGCACAATGTAGAGGGCATGAAAGACTTCTGTATCCTGGAGAAGTACAGCAAAGCACTTATTCCAACAGACTTGCATTGCAGACACACAAACTAAGGCCGAATCTATTTTGCTTCATAATGTTCATACAATATGTTGTCATGATTATAATATTAGCTTGTGTTTTCATATACCGATTTCTTCCACATGAAATGTAAGAATGAAATGGGGAGGTTGGTGGCCCTGCCTGTGGCAGGGGGGTTGGAGATCTGTGATCCTTGAGGTCCCCTTCAACCGTGGCCATTCTGTGATTGTGAAATATTTTAAAAATCTTTCCACAGAGAGGACAAGACAAATCATAGGTTTATGATTTCACTGACATAAACCTATTACACCTTTTCTAATCAACTGAACAATAGACAAGCCATTTTCAGAAGCCTACCAAGTAAATCACAAATGCATGGTGTGTTACCCATATATGAATTCATTCCAGCATGCTGATGAATGCAAGAGTTTATAAAAAGCTAAGTACAAGATTGGTGCCATTACTTTAAGAAAGTTTTCAAAATTTGACTTAAAAAAAAAAAAAAAAAAAAAAAAAAAAAAAAAAAAA